TTTCGAAATAGATATGTTCGAGGTATATCTTACAAGGTACGCAGGAGACATCTGAAAGCTGCATTTGAATTGTAAAATCAACTGATGTACACAGTCGAGCCACTGTAAAAATACTGGACATCGCTCGTTCGGATCTTCGCAGCCGACAGTTTGCCCGCAACGATCCGCAAATTTGTGTCCAAAGTCTAACCATTCTCTCTCGCATAAAACTTGGAATCCCTGGCAAGTATCAAACGGAATAACGGAACGATTATCAATCGGAAATAATAGACGAGAGAGTCCAAGTAAGTACCTTTGGCATACCTCCATAGTTCGATAATAAGGATCCAGAAGAATCTGCGCCAAAGCGACTATCTGGGGCGTTCTATCCCAACCGTCGCTACAGTGCACCAATACTGGCCGACCGTCTCTTTCTATCGCCGATGCTACGGTCACCGCAGCGCGTAATAATCCAGACATATGTTGTAACCATCGTGTTCCTTCCAAAAGACTGAGCCAACTGTATATTGTAAAAAGAAGAAGAAGAAGAAGAAAAATAGAAGAATTTTGGATCGATTCACTTGCAATCGTAATAAAGAAATATAATAATATTGGTTCGACGATGAGACGAAGAAAGGTAGTAGACCAAGAGAATACTATTTACTTGGGTTGATCCGCATCCGACGCACAAAGCTGTCTCACGGCGTGAAAACTCTTTCGTATCGAGTGGATATTTGGTAGATTCATGAATTGTATATCGCAACTGGGATAATATTCGGGACATTCGCATCCACCACCACGCGCTCTATTCGCTACCGCGGTTGTATACGATCTAGCGTCCACAATTAAAACTTTCTGCAAAGAAAGAACATGTATTCACTTACTCTGAATTAAAGATCATCAGCTTCAAATCTTTGTGCAATTAGAATTCTCTTCAATTATTTAATTTGACGCCTACTTTTGTTTTATTCGATGTAACACCGTCATCGCCGTTATCTGGATAGATGATGGATGAATCCATCATCGTCGATTCACCTTTATCGTAGGAACATGCATCGGAAAGGGCTTTCAAAAGTTGTTCGTCATCAGGACTCCGCCAACCAAGCCATCCAACTTCCGGCTGGCTGCTTCGTGCTATTACTGCACCGTTGTTCACGTGCCTTTGAAATTATAAAAGACAAGCATGTGACATACGATAGTAAAATACACAATATTATCTTTCTCCCCTTCTTATAATTCTTTGTCTTTTTTTTGAATACCTCCAAACAACGGCAGGGATCCGTCGAAAACTTCTAAACTTTGCTACAACCTCGAGACTATCGTCAGGAATGCAAGAAGGTACCAGAAGCAATGGCGGATAAGATGGACAGATGCGGTAATCTTTATTGATTTGACTTATGCGCCATGTACCATGCAAATTAAATTTCAGTCGTTCTACCTAAGAAACAGGTGAAAGAATTAAATTATATTATACTTAAATTGCCTGTATACCTGTCAAGTTTGAGTTGCTTACTTCTGAATTAAAGGTAGCATTATACGACGTGCTATCTTTTCCCAACTTGGAATTATCTTTGCCTTCCTCGACGGACCAAGCGTAATATGCAAAAGCAAATATATCTTCTATACTCTTTCGTGGATAAGTCACTTTGTGTAATCGTTTAAACCACTCCAAACAATGTTCGTTCGTGGCAAAGACGCAACTGAAAATGTCAAGTTACTTTTAATATCAAAATTGTGCGCAGGAGAAGAATGCAGGTTAGTTTTGATAAAACAAGGCAATTTCATACCTTAGGGAACGAGCATCTTTGCAACCAATATGCAGAAAAAAGATCTCTTTAACTTCTAGCTGTTCTATTAAACCCAATGGGATGTTGTAACATGCTTGATTTAATTGTAAGTAGAGCCTGTAATTAGAAAGAGCCAACACTCCATCCGACGTACGTCCAAGTGCTACAATGAACTCCCCACTCAACAGTGTAAATGGAACGGTAAGCGTTTGATCTTCGCATTCAAAGTGCGCGTGCTTTGGAAATAATTCCGATGCATGTAAATGACAGATGGATTGCAAACTTGTTGGCTCTTCAGAATTCTCCATCTCCTCCCTGTGTGACACCACATTATATAAATACAAACTTGAGTCTTCTTTTTGAACATGAAAATTTTTAATTCTGGACTACATCCTTTTCATATATTTTATATGCATAATGCGAAATTGGATTGATCCGATCAATGTCACAGCTACCATGTACCGATTCTAGTTATTAAAATACGCGTTATTGCAAATATACATTATTGAAAATTAGTAAACAACGATCGCAAAATGATCTCTCTCACACACACACACACACACACACACACACACACACACACAC